TGCCTGGGACTCGCAGTCTGGCAAGAAAGAGTCTTTGTCACCATTTTCAACTGAGGCTGCCAGTGACCTTATGGCAGGAGAGTGAAACCAACCCTGGAGCAAAAGCAGAGCCAATCAGAGAAAGGAGAGGAGTCAGCAAGACGAGGAAGGCCACAGTGGCATCTCCGCCCCTGGATCTGACTGTACCTGCAGCACCTTTTCATGTAAATGAGCCAGAAGTTTGAGCTGAACTTCTGTCTCTTGAAGCCAACAGTCCCATCTCCTTCGCTAATGCAATTTCCATGTTTAAGGGCGATTGACTTTATATAAGCATTTGTGCTGGGTAGAGGAGACCCGAGGTCCCTTCCCTTTAAAACAGTAAGTTTTAATCTGGGTAGACTTTGAGGGGCCCGTCCAGATGGAATTTACAGAGGAAAAATACAATTGTACCCCCTCCCCTCCCCACTAACCTCTAACTGAAATTAAGCATTTTTTCCAAGTATCAATGCAGGCAACAGAATGCAGTCATGTTGGCCAAGTGGGCAACTTGCCCTCAGCAGAAATCACAGATATTTGCACATCACATCTCAAAATACTAGGCAGCTTTGTCACGACTTCAGAATTACTAGTTATCAGGCCTGCTGCTAGAGCGTGCAGCTCGATGTGTGAATCACGAAGCCAGCGGATCACATGTTATTTTGATAATTGGATTTCAGGCAAATAGGTTTCCGTCCTAATCCTGTACTTTACTTTATGCATTTAAAAGCATATTCTGAAAAGAGGTCAAGAGTTCACTAAGCTCTCGAAGCTCAAAACGAAGACCAGGCTAAAAAGAAACACACCAAGAGACCACTGCAGGGGCCCTGGCGCTGGCTGTGATTGAGAGCCGGCAAGGTGACATCACAGTGGGAGGGGGCGCTCGGCTCTGCCCGGGGGTCGGGGGGTGGGGAGGAAGAAAGGATGCTGGGTTGTACAGGAGGGCGTGGGGGTGGGGCCTCGGGCAGCTGGCGATGTAGGTGGCCTTCGGGGGTCAGGGAGGCTGCTGGTCAATCAAGGACGCCAGATCTGGTTAAAGTTAATGGTCAGCCGGGGCGGCACGCCAGCCTCCTGCTCTGTGTCCCCGATTTCCACTCTCACTGGATCCAACGGGGGCCGTGCTGGGCCGCATTCACCAGCCCCCCGCCCGGGAATATTTACACTCCGGGCGCAGGACAAAGGAAGCCGTGATAAACCTCGCTGTTCGTGTAGCAACGTGGAAAGCGCTGAGAAAGAGAGTGCGCGCGCGCTAGATTACAGCCCTTAACCAGAGCGAGTCAGTACTTAGTGGTCTGACAGCTAACATGCTGCGCAGGGCACATAGAACAATGAGGATGGCTGGCGAGGCCTTCATTTATATGCAGCTTTCAAGGAAAGAGCCCTCCACGGCCTGTGGGGGTCCCAGGATGTCAGTGGCACATGACACTTCCCTCCCCAATGGAAGAGGGTGCTCTGACAAGGAGATGCCTGGTGGAGGCCCATGAGGACCCCTCATCTTAAAGAGGCTGCCAGGAAGCAGGCCTTCTCTGGGGTGGGGGAAGGAAAATGAGGGGTGGGGCGACAGTCATGCCATCGCAGCCACAGCAGCACTCAGGGCGGTCCCCTGCATCCCAGGGGCGCTTCAGGTCACATTCAAAAGACATTTCCCTGGACCTGGAAGCAAGCGGACAGAAGCTCCCCAGATGTCACCTCAGCCCCCAGGGCCCCCTTCCCTGGGGACCACTGCCCTTCACTTTGCCAGCCCACGTGCTAAGCACTTGTGTTCCGGCTGGGGCCCTGGGGCTGCACCCTTGGCTGCAGGTGAACCGCACAGACACCAGCTCTTCTAGAAGCCATTCCCTGCCTTGCTCAAACCCTCCCAGTGTGGATGGTCTTTAAAACTGCTCCCCGCCAACCACACACCAGTTCCACTGCACACGGGGCAGCAGAGGCAGAGAAACGGGCGTGTCTCCTCACGTCCGCTCGGGCCACGGTGCAGTCCCAGTGCAGCTGCGCGTCTAAGCTGCCACGCTGAGTTTCTCCTCCCGTGGGACTGAAATATCGTCAAGGCAGTCACCCAGCTCAGCGACATGGAAGGCAGCAACGTGCTGATGGGTGGAGAAAGGATGTAGAGAGACTTCACACAACGGGACCCGCGTATCCGAACATTTGGCATTTCTGGGGAAGCCAGCAGACAAATGGGTGGAGATGATTGTGTTTGATGTGTTTCAATTTAGTGTCGGGATGGGGTGGGGAGTGGGTCAGGGGTGACACAAGATCACCACCCCCATGGGAAGGGATAAACTGGGAATTTGAAAACTGCACCTCTTGGGGAGGGTGGAAATGTTAGCTGCTTTGATTGTGGTGGTGGTTTCATGGGTGTCTGCATCTACCGAAATTCATCAAATTGTACATCTGAAATGTCTGTAGTTTGCTGCACAGGGACCATACCACAGTAAAAGTGTTAAGGAAAATAAAATAAAATAAAATAATAAAAAAATTACATACCATAAAAGAAAAAAAGATTACCATTAACCCCTGTGCAGGGGGGTTCCTTTGGTTCTTCTGATGTACAGGTTTAAAATGTCCCGTAATAGCATGTAGAATATTGACAAGAAGAAGAAAAAGACGAACCAGGTCACTTTGTGTGGCCTGGATGGGTGATGGGTGCTGGGAAAGGGCTGTCATTTCATTGATCGTCCCCTAGTTCCTTTACACAAACGAGGAAGCAGGTGAAGGGAGGGTTACGACTGATTGTCGAAGGTGCTGAAGCCAAAAGCCCCGGCCCCAGGTTGGGGTGCTAAGTGGGTCTCTGCTTTGCCCGGACGCCCTGCGCTCTGCCCTGCGTGCGGTGCACTGCCCGGTACCTCACTAAAGACGGCGTGGCAATGTCTAACAGCTGGGGGACGTTTCAGGGGTCACCCCTGCGGCAGGCCCCCTCCAGCGGGTCCCGCCGTGGCCCCAGAACCTGTCTAGACGCTGGCGCTGTCAGACATGCTCCTCCGGCGGGGGCCGGCTCCGCTGGCAGGCAGGCCTGCCAGAAAGCGCTCACAAGTGGGAGGAAATCTCCTCTTTAATCTAATTTCCACCCATCTGTCCTCGTTCTGCCCTTCATAACCCCACAGGGTAATCCTTCTTGCCGGACAGTTTTGCAAATATTTGGATTCCGCCGTCTTGTCCTCTACACATTGATCTTCCAGGCTGAAGGTGCCCCATGTGTCAACCACCCTCCCACGGCCTGCTGGTGGCTGTCCTTAGACCCCAAGCAAGGGCACCATGTTCTAGATGTGCCCGGCTGGGGAGGAGCGCAGGAGAGTCCCCCTAACTCTGCGATTCTTGCTCTTCTGGATGCTAAAGCATGGTCCCTTCTCAGGGCCTGGGGTGCTGTGGAAACAGCCCTGCCCTGATCTCCTCCCATTGATTGTTCATCCAAATGGGATGGGAAAGGCAGATTCACTGACTTCTCCCCCTGGAAGAGAGCTCAGAAAGGTAATCTCCCCCTACCTTCCCCGTAACAGTCGTCAACAGTGAACGCAGGGCACACGGTGCTGCTGGATGTATCCAGGATTCTCTCTTGGATGCTCAGCAACCCGTGGAGGTATCCTCACCTGGGAAAGGCGGGACAGTGCTCCCCACTGCACCCTGGAAGCATCAGAGCCAAGACTCAGCCCGGAGTCTATCGGATTCCAGACTCCCGGTCAGGACCCCCTCCCACAGAGGCAGAGCGCATGAGCTCCCGCCCACCCCTACCCACACCCTCTGCACTAACTTTGCCGTCTCAGTTTCACTGGCCCGAAGGTCTGGCTCTGGGAGGTCCAGCATGGAAAGGAAGGAGGCCTCGGAAGGGAAGAGGCTCTTGGGCCACTGTTGGTCATTTAAGAACAGCTTTGCTTTTAAACTCTAACTCTGGCCCACAGCAGCTTGTGGGATTCAGGAAAGCGGCCTCAGATGCCCTGGGAGGGCACCCGCAGCCTGGGGATCTACGGCCAGGCCTGGTGGGGGAGCACCCTGACTCCGACAAGTGGGGAAATCCTCGCTGGTTCATGGGGAACTGTGCCTCTTTCTCCAGACAGCGTCCAGGCGAGCCACCCTCCCTGGCTTGTCACTTCTTCCTCTACGGCAAAGGGTTTAGAGCAGGCTTCTGAGGGCACCCAGGTCCTCAGACCCGTGGGTTAGTATAAATGCGTGTCACCAGGGGTGTAGACACGGTGAACACTTAGCAGACAGTTGGCGTGAGGGCAGCAGAAGGCACCTGGCCCCTCACCCTGAGAAGACAATGCTGGGGGTCTTGTTCTGGAACGTTCTCATCCAAAGTCAGATTTGCTCAGAAGCAGAGAAGCAAGTGTGCGGAGAGCCCACATGGTTCGTCCACACGTTTGTGCAGGTCACGTGGCCAGCAGGGCTGCACCAGGGCCTGGGGGTTCGCGAAACCTTGGGGACTTCAGGGGGCCGGGAAAGGGTGAGGTCAGGCCAGGCTCCCAGAAGGGGCACGCTGCCCCACTAGCAGGTGGTGAGAAGGAGGTCGCTGGGCACTTCATCAGACCCGGCGCTGATCCCAGCAGAGGCCTGGCCAAGGCAGGGGGTGGCCTCTGCGGGCGCGGGGGGGCAGGAGAGGAAGGCGGGAGGCGGGGAAGGAGCAGCGCGGAGGGAAACTGCGGCGGCGGGAGGGAGGTG